TATTTGACAGACAGCACAAGTAGGAGGAGCAGCAGGCAAAGGAGGAGGAGGGAGAGACAGACTCCCTGTGAAGCAGGGAGCCTGAGCAGGGCTCCATCCCAGGGCCATGGGATCATGACCTGAGCTTAAAGCATATGCTTAACTGATTGAGCCACCTAAGCACCCTGTTCATTCCTTATATATGTGGGATATTTTGAACAATGCTAGAAGATTCCTCTTCTAACCAAAAGTTTTTCCGTGTTAGATTGTCCCATTGTCTGAAGTTTTTATCTTTCAGCTGCTCTTTGTAGTTAAGACACTGATAGAAGCTCCATGAAGGCAGTTACCACATCTGTCTTTTTTTATTGCTATAACTACAGCATCTGTTCCATTTCTTGGCACATAAATAGGTGTTCCATAAATATTTATTCAATTAATAAATGAAGGCAAATGTTATTTATGACATTAAAACATTATTGGTCCTAGGAAAGCCCATGATGTGCTAATTTATTTATTAGAAAAGAACTTAGAGTACACATGATTTTTTTTCAGAGTGAGCAGGCCATTGAACGGAAATTTTTTGTTTGCAAAGAAGAAGAAAAGCAGGCCAAACAGAAAAGTGTAGAAAACCAATTTGACTACTTCATTACATATCTTAGAATGATTCTGTTAATGAGTTACATAGGAAAAGCAAGGCTGATGAGGGGTGTGTATGTGTTATTAAGTTGCATTGCAGTATGATTTATTGTCTGTTTCCTAAGGAAATAGCTGTTCATTGATCTTTTGGGTACCTGCTTTTAGTATCTTATCCAAAGAAGTAAATGCCCATTTATCCCTCTTGGCAAGATCAGACAGCTGTTAGTTTTGCTAGGATTTAACAGTATTTCTGATTTTTTACTCATCAGTGTGCCTTCAAATCCAGTGGTATTTGAAACACAAAACATATTTTGTTCATCATCTTCATGTATTAAGGATACCATATTGCCAAGTATCAGTCTCTCTGGAAGAACTCAGATTATTTTTTTTCCTTGATACTTTATAGATCAACAATTTAAGCAACCATAATAAATAGATATGCTTAGTTGTCATATTCAAAGATAATTAAGAAACTTGGAGTTTAGCTTTTACCTTGGGATTCTCCTGAGGAAATTGGCCCTTTTAATAGAGGGACCACTAAAAGAACTTGATTTAGTGCTTAAAATCAGTAAATTTGGTGGCAGTAGAGTGGCTAAATTGGGAAATAATATGTTCTTTGCTTTTATCCATTATCCAGTTTCTATTTTATAAACTTCTGTCTGTGGAAATACTTAGAGCAATACTTATTTTAAGTTAATATGAAATTTATTAGGCAGGTAAGAATTTATATTGAAAATCTGAGCTCTTTTACCTTGAGTTATTAATGAGGTTATGTAACATATATTTTTTGGAATTGTCTTAAATTTAAGTTTTTAAAATAAATGACATTGCTGAAATCAGAACTTTTTTGTACTTTGACTTTTTACAGATGGACTGTTCATTATATGACTTGTTTATGTATATAGTCCTATTATGTACAGGGGGATATCCAAGCCAGTAGATATTTAATCTCAATGGATACCAGGGAAAAACAAATTAGAAGAAGTAAGGGGATACTATTTCATACCTATCATATTGCCAAAAAATAAAAAATTCTGACAGTATGAAATATTGGTAAAAATGAAGAGAAGTGGGAATTTTTAACCATTGCTGATGTTGTAAAAATATGAACTAAAACCTCCATTTCAAGAAGACCTTTCCTCAAAGGCAGAAGAGAAAGAAAATGATTTTTTTTTCTTGAATAAGCATTGAGCCAGAATGTGAAGTACATCACAGGCAATCTGCTAAGAGACTGCAGAGATCTAAAGAGAGCTTACCCTTTTATATGTCCAAGCAGATACAACCATTACATACATGTTTTCAAGATAAATTGAGAGCACTACTTAGCTCAAGTTGGGGGACTTAATAGCAAGATATCGCACCCATGCATCATTCTAAGTCACTTGGTAATTGGGATGACAATATGTATTTGTTAACTGGCTGAATGTGTATTTGTATTCTTATGATAGGAGGTAATTTTGCAGCTTGGAGTTAGGTGGCCAGCTAGTTAGGTTCCTGTCTTCCCACAGAAATTGACAAAAAGAGGGTATTCTCTCCCCTGGTGCAAATCACATTTCAAAGAGGTGATTACTAGGTCCTTGAGCTAGCCCTGGGTTGCTGTTAGTAGCCTGCTTGCTTTCTTATTTATGTATTATTTAAAGTAAGCTCCACACCCAATGTTGGGCTTGAACTCAGGATATTGAGATCAAGAGTTGCATGATCTACTGACTGAGCCAGCAGGAGCCCCTAGAAGCTTATTTAGCTTTTAAAAAGATTTACATATATTTCAGGATAGAGAAAGAATTTATAATTACAACTCTTCTAGAGAAAGTGCTCTAAGAAAAATATGGGGGTATCTTTTTTATCTACCTACCTACCTACCTACCTACCTACCTACCTACTTTAATTACTTAAAATAGGCTCCATGACCAATGTGGAGCTCGAACTTACAACCCCAAGATGAAGAGTCAGGTGTTCCACCAACTGAACCAGGCAGACATCCCATTCTTCCCTTACAATGAGAATTAAACTTCTCATTTTTTTATGCCCTTACACTGATGAGTAAATTGATTTGGCTACTTTACTGGGCAATTTGCAGTGTTCTGGTAGAGTTAAAGATGTGCATACTGTATGATCCAGTACTTTTATTTCTAGTTAAATCCCAGAAAAACTCTTAAAAAAAGAGATTTATTCATTTGAGAGACTAAGCAAGCAGGTGTGGTGGTGGTGGTGGGGGGGAACAGAGGGAGGGGGTGAGAGAGAATCCTGAGTAGACTTCCCACTAAGTGTGGACCCCAATGCAGAGCTCATCCCACAAACTTGAGATCATAACAGTGGAAATCAAGTTAGTTGCTCAACTGACAGAGCCAGCTGTGTGTCTACCAGAAAACTCGTGTAAGAGAGTAACATTGCATATTAACAGTGGAAATAGCAAATGTTTATGAATAGAGTGAATAGATACATTTTGGTATATTCTTAAGGTATAATACAGCATTGAAAGTGACTGAATTAGAGCTACAAAATCAACATGAGTACCTGTTATAAATAATATTATTAAATTATAGAACATGCACAGTATATTTATATAATATTTTTAAAACATTGGGGATCCCTGGGTGGCTCAGCGGTTTAGCGCCTGCCTTTGGCCCAGGGCGCGATCCTGGAGTCCCGGGATTGAGTCCCACATCAGGCTTCCAGCATGGAGCCTGCTTCTCCCTCCTTCTGTGTCTCTGCCTCTCTCTCTCTCTCTCTCTATGTCTATCATAAATAAATAAGTAAATAAATCTTAAAAAAAATAAAAACATGCAGAACAATCTATATTTTTATGGATATATTCATTAGTAAAAGTATAATGAACTGATAAACACCAAGATCAGAAAGTGGTTACCTTTTAGGAGGGAAATGTATAATGGGATCAGCAAGGTTTTCAAGTGTATCTGTAATACTTTATTTCTTAATAAACAAAGATCTTAAATAAGAATGTTAAAATTTATTAGGGGTGGGTAGGTACATTGGTGTTTGTTATTACCTAGAATCTTTTGTAATGTTTAAATATTTTATGATTAAATGCTTAAAAAAAGAGAGAGAAAAAAAAGGCCAGAAAAATCAGTGTTAGTTGGGGGGGAACTCAATCTACTTTTGTAATTGCATGCTAATGGTAATGATCTAGTAAAAAGGGACAAGTTAGTGCAGGTGACTGGGAGTGTTACCGGAGCAGAGTCCTTGAGAAGAAAAACAATGGGACCCAGTGCAGAAATAATTTGCTTGGCTTTTGATAGGAGTAAGGCCAGTGTGTTGACACAGGAGAGTAAACAGAATAAGTGGTAGGAAGAGGAAGTAGTTCTGTTCTGAATTTAGTATGACTAATGTCCAGGTTTGCCTAGGACTAAGAGGTTTCCCAATATGCAAGACTTTCAGTGCTAAACTGGGAAAGTCCTGGAAAAACAAGGATGGTTGGCCATCTTCTGATTTTCCTTGACAAAATGAAAAAGCAAGATCATCTGCTAGGAGTGAGAGGAGGATGAGGCTTTAAGGTAAATTGAGAAGCTATAAGAAGAAATTATCTTAAGGCTGGGAAAGCAAATTGACTAGGTTAGTATGATATACTTCTGAGCTTTGCTAAGGGTCTGCTGAAATTTATGGGTATAATATCAAAGGTCATGTGGTATTTTCTTGTCATCTCATTCAGCTCTACAGGTGAAGGTACTGTGTTAAATGGAAAGTTGGTTTTAACTGATTTGATTGTGATGAGGAAGAGTGAGGGCATAGGTAAGGAAATGATTATAGTGATGGATCATTAGCTTTCAGGCTGAGTAAGAGGTAGAGAAGAAGGGAGACGAAGGATAGTGGGAAAAATAGTTCCAAATCTTTTGGCAATAACAGATTTTTAGAAGTGAACTAGAAAGATAGGAAGTGAGGAGAGTGGGATGCTTGAAATTGAGATTTTTGACATGATGCAGTCACTGGTCATCAATGTGATTACCAGAATAGAGGCTGGAGTAGATAGAAGGAAAGGTTTTGGGTATGGGAATGATCACTCCATGGATGTGATATTAGTGATTAAGGCAAGTTTTGGTGCTCTGAAAACAATCACTCAAGTATTTTCATATGCCAACAGTCTTTTGTTTCTTGTGCCTCAAATCGTAGATTGTATTGTTGTTCTGGAATGAAGATGGGTGTAAATAAGTAAATGTATAAAAGCAGAATTTTTTTAATCAGTATGTGGCCTTATCTATGGCTTGTTTAGTAGTTGGTTAAGTTTCCAATGTTAATGTCCAAACTAATGATCCCACTGTCCATTAAGTTATTTTAGTCCCAAATAGGTTCAATAAGGACTTTGTGTCATGGATGATTATAGATGGTACATTTCTCTGCTAACTCCAACTTCCCTCTTTCTCTTTTTATAGGACCACAGCTGAATGCACAGCTAGAAGGTTGGCTCTCACAAGTTCAGTCTACAAAAAGACCCGCTAGAGCCATTATTGCACCGTAAGTTTTAAGGGTCTTTACCCAGAATGTTTCATATGTTAAGAATTAATATAGTATCTACAGATGGAACTAAAAAACTAAAAAACAAATGCTATGTTGAGCTGAAGAAATTATATATTATTTTCATTATTCCTTTAGCTTTCACTTTAATTTAAGGATAAAGGAATTTCTCAGGTACAGTAATTTTAAAATTTGATTTTGGTAGTAAAACTGACTTTTAAAGTGGAGGGTGATTTGCAGTGCATAAAGTTGGTGATTTCAGATTGATGTAACTGAGTAAGTTCTGTTTTAAATAGTAAAATGATCTACTTTAATTCAGCTGACTTTTTCCTTATAATGAAAAAGATGTGTTAATCATAACACCATGCAATATGGAGTAGCAACCAGATATTTGGGGAAGGGGTAGTGTTTTTTTGTTTTGTTTTATTTTAATGAAGAAAATGTTTTGTCTTTGAATCCTTTAGATTCAAAGGCTTTTTAGAACTACAAGTTAACAAATATAGTTAATGGTGTGGTCTGTATGTGATATGAATTCAGTTCATTTTGATTTGGTTTCCAGTGCTAACTTTCAAGACACATTTTTTTTTTTAAAGATTTTATTTATTTATTCATGAGAGAGACACAGAGAGAGAGGCAGAGACACAGGTGGAGAGAGAAGCAGGCTCCCTGTGGGGAGCCCAATGCGGGAGCCCGATGCGGGAGCCCGATGCGGGAGCCCGATGCGGGAGCCCGATGCGGGAGCCCGATGCGGGAGCCCGATGTGGGAGCCCGATGCGGGAGCCCGATGCAGGACTTGATCCTGGATCCCAGGATCATGACCTGAGCCAAAGGCAGCTGCTCATCAGAACACATTTTTTAAAGCACATGTTAACTGTTTTCTGAGAAAAGTAAAGGTTGGAGTTTGTCCCATTTCTTTCACAGCAATGTCTTTTATGTAACTTCGGTTGAGTTAGATTTGGTGCCCCAATAAAGAAAAAATAGTGAAAATAATAATAGCATCTACTTATTAAACAATATGAGAAATAAGTAAATACACATAAAGAGCCTACATTAATGTCTGACACATAATTAAGTATTCCACAAATGCTAGATATTTAATGTGCCAAACATTTTGTTAAATGCTCCATTTGTATGATCTAACTTGATCTCATTTAATAGATAAAGGAGGCTACTGTACCATTTCTAAGGTATGTGATAGACAAGTTCCTTAATCCCTTATGCTTTTGTCTTGTTGGTAAAATTGGAATATTTATAGTACCTCATATAGTTTTTTGATGATTAAATGAGTTAATCTTTAGAAAGTTTTAGTATAATAACTTAAGCTATTATTTATTTAGTCATTCAGCAAATATGTATGTACCCAGCTAAATGCCGGGTGTTCTTTTTAGTGCTGCTTTTTGTTTCAGTAAGGTTCTTTTGAGAGGTTTTATCTTATCCTTTTATTTGGGACATATTCCTATTTCCTCAGTTTGTTTGACTTCCCTGTGTTTGTTTCTATGTATGAGTCTTCAAAGAGTAGCCTTGTATAGGAGATGGACCTTATCTTTCAACCTGGCCCTAGCTCTTCATTGTCTCTGAAACCTTTGTGATTGTCTAAGCAGCCTGAGTTATTCTTGATAAGTCCCAGTTGTTGAGGGTGTGTCAAGACCTGTCAGTATTCTGAAGGAGGTGGATCTTAGGCACCCCCTACTTATGCGCTAATTAGAAGCCAGACCCTCAGGCAGCAGGTTTTAAAATATGCCAACATAGATAGTCCTGTGAGACTATAGTTGTAAAAACCCTGTTAGCCTCCAGACCAGGTAATCTAAAAGTGTCCTCTGGGGTGACATTGGCAAAAATCAGGGCTTCAGAGGAGTGTATAAGCTCCTCTCTGGGAGGTACTGGTGAAATGTAGTTAGATTACTACTAAGTGACTAACTACTACTACTAACTACAAGTAAGGCTTAGGGAGAGCATAAAGATGGTATCCCCTGGCCTCCTTTCCTTGAAAGCATCTTCACAGCCTCTAGATGTATGGCAAATGTGAAGTCTGCCCCTCAGGCTGAAGCTCTGGGACAAGTAAATAGGCTTGTTTCACAGAAAGACTAGGGATGTGTTTCAAAGTGCTGTCTCTGTGATGCCCTGGAGGTGATAGCTTGCCAAGAACTGTCTCTTCAATTGTTGCAGCCCTATTGGACCCAGGAACACAAGCTCCCCTGGCCACCAGAGCGGCTGATCAAGGAGTGTCCTCTGTGTAGACTTGCATGTGCCTGCCAGCTTTAGCAGGGCCACAGGAGAGCGCGTGGTTGGTGCAGACACAGCTTTTACAGGGCCGCAGGAGAGCACAGGGCTAGGTTGCCCCATGGGTGCCTCTGTCCCTGGAGAGAGTTGCAACAGGTCCCTGTCTCTCTGATGTTCTAAGATTAGTCAGTATCCTTCACATTTAGTCTAGGCACTTTTCAAATCGCTGCTTTTGTGCTGGTTTCCAGGGTGACATGAGTCTGCATGTGAGCCCTTTAGGAGAAGTATCTCAGTTTCCTATAGCTTTGGATTTCCTGGTTGTTTTGGGGATTCATCTCTCTGTTACACTTCTCAGGAATTGGTGTACCTGATGTGGGTTGTGAACCCTTCCTTCCTCAGGAAGAAACTCTGGGTTTGTGAGATGCCTCCTGATTGTGGGTCCCAGTGCCAGGGATGGGGTTCTGACAAGGCTGCATCCTGCCTTCTCTTCCCATCTTGATGTGACACTTCTATCATGCAAAGGAGGTATTCAGCTAGTTTTCAGGTCTTTTGCAGAGGGAACCATACCTTATGTAGCAGTAGATTTGGTGTGTTCATGGGAGGTGAGTTCAGGATCATCCTTTGCTGCCATCTTGGACTGCTCCCTAATGCTGCATTTTGAATAAACTAAAATTGCTACTTTTTTGGTGCTTACATTTTAGTACTTGGGAAAACAAACAGTAAACAAATAATTACAGGCATACATCAAAGATATTGTGGGTTTGGTTCCAGACGACTGCAATTAAACGAGTATTACAATAAAAAAAGCCAAATGAATTTGTTTCCTGGTGGATAAAGTTATGTTTACACTGTAATGTATTCTATTAAGTGTACAATAGCATTATTGTATGAAAACAGTGTATTATCTTAATTAGAAAATACTTATTGCTAAAAAATGTTAACCATTCAGTAAGTTATAATCACTGATCACAGATGGCCTTAATAATACAAAATGTTTGGAATATTGCAGGAATTACTAAAATGTGACACAGAGACATGAAGTGAGCAAATGTTGGAAAATTGGCACCAGTGGACTTGTCTGATTTGAGGTTACCACAAGCCTTCACAATTTGTTTTTTTTTTTTTTAAAGCAGTATCTGTGAAGCACAATACAGAAAAGGACAATAAAACAAGGCATGCCTGTATATTGTATCAGGTGCTAATGGATGCTAAGAATAATAAAGCTGATAAGAAGATTGAGACTGACAGTATGGGTAGGGACGTGCTAGTTTATGTAGGATAGTAAGAAAAGATCTCCCTGATAAGGTAACATTTGAGCCTAAATAATTCAAGAGAGAGATTATGCGGCTATTGAGGGAGGAGGTTTTCAAGTTGAGGAACTGCAAGTACAAAGGCTTTGCAGCAGGATATGCTTAGTGTATTTGAGGAAAAGTGAGGAGGATGGGGTAGCTGGAGTGGCATGTACAAGGAGAAGAGTCGTGGATGAAATAGGCAGCAAGAGCTCTCTCCTTGATTCATGGATAAGGGAGGGAAGTTTGTGTAATCCTTGATTGGCTGAGAAACAATGGATAAAAAAAAGAAACAATGGATTAATAGTCAATCACATCTTTATAGTGACTTGTGACATAGGTTCTATGTCATTCTCATCACTTTGCTGGTATTTGACTATTGCATGCTACCTTCCTAGTTAAAACTTGTTTCAAATGTAGGAACTGTGCTAAAACAATCTATAAAGTCAAGTTTAGTTATTCATGAAAATGTAGCTAGATTTATTTCCTTTTTATATTTAGCTTTTGGGTTGAAATTGGCAGTAGCCTGGGAAATGAAATGTTTGAGTCTAAGTCACAAGTATATGGATTTGTAAAAGATTTCCAAGTTACCTTGGGTTTTATTTATTTTTGAAATAACTCCTTTTATTTTTATTTTTTATTTTTATTTTTTTAAAGTTTATTTATTTTTATTTATGATGGTCACAGAGAGAGAGAGAGGCAGAGACACAGGCAGAGGGAGAAGCAGGCTCCATGCACCGGGAGTCCGACGTGGGATTCGATCCCGGGTCTCCAGGATCGCGCCCTGGGCCAAAGGCAGGCGCCAAACCGCTGCGCCACCCAGGGATCCCTCCTTTTTTTTTTTTTTAATGATTTTTATTTATTTATTCATGAGAGACACACAGAGAGAGGCAGAGACAGGCAGAGGAAGAAACAAGCTCCATGTAGGGAGCCCGACGTGGGACTCGATCCCGAGTCTCCAGGATCATTCCCTGGACTGAAGGCAGCGCTAAACCGCTGAGCCACCCAGGCTGCCCTACCTTAGGTTTTAAAATGAGTATTTGTAAATAGTTTTGGCTTTGGTCTGTGTGTTTCTGTTCTATAATGACTTTGTAATTATGTTTATGCATATGTAATACAATCTCCATTTTGTTAACATATGAAGACTTTAAATTATAGTCAAATTAATCTTAGTATATAGTGTCCAGAAGTAATTATTTTCCTTTCTAGAGTTTTGGGGTTTTTTTAGGTAGAAAAGCAACAACTAACATTTTATTGTTCTATAGGCACAAAAGGGTCTTTGTTAGAACATGCTTATCTAGTAATTAGAAAATTTAAGATTCCTACTTTTAATTCAAATCAAATCTATTAAACTTTTAAGATATTAAGTAATCTCTACCCCCAACATGGGGCTTGAACTCACAATCCTGAGATCAAGAGTTGCATGCTCTATTGTGAGCCAGTGAGGTTCTCCTAAAAAACATTCTTTAACTTTTATAAAATTTAGCTCTC